GCATTCATGATAGACTGAAGGGGGAGGAGCCTGTGTAGTGGAAGGTCAATGAGGAGGGAGTTGCAATAGACAAGACGAGAGATAACAAGGGAGGGTATGAGTAGTTTTGCGGTGGCATTGGTGAGGAAGGGGCGTATTTTAGAGGTCCGAGTCCAGGATGACACCTAGCACCTTGGCATGGGGGGAGGGATGGATGGATAGTTGTGTTATCAATCTCAAGGGAAAAGTTGGGGGAAGGTGCACGGGGGGGGGAGGGGGGAGGAAATATCATGAGCTCAGTTTTTGAAAGGTTGAGTTTTAAGAAGTGTTGCGACATCCAGAGGGATATGTCATTTAGTAGATTAGTGACACGCAAGGACACTGAGGGGGGGAGTTGGGGAGTAGAGAGATATAGTTGAATGTCATCGGCATAGAGATGGTATTGGAAGCCATGGGAGGTTATTAACTGACCAAGGGAGGAGGTGTAGATGGAGAAGAGAAGGGGTCCAAGGACAGAGCCTTGGGGGACCCCTAAAGGAAGAGGAGGGGAGGAGTTAGATTTGTAGGGGACACTAAAGGAGCGCTTAGATAGATAGGAGGAGAACCATGAGAATTTTCATTACATTGGCTAAAATATAAAACAGGAGCACCCCTAATTCAAACATTATTTAGAGCAGCTTCAACAAAGGGTTAATGTTCTTCAGTGATAGGAAAATTAAATTGTCCACGAGTAACTTACCAGCTCCACCCCAACCATGGTGTCCTCTATTTGTGGCATGTGCCCCAACCATCGGATGATCCCGTAGGCCAGTTCCCCTTCCTTATACTGAATCTGTACCAGAGAATGCACTTCCAGGTTTCTGCCAAAAAGTTCTTCTTCCAGTTTGCCCTCATTGGGGCTCTTCAGCTCCTTGCACATGGCCCCGCCATCTTCCAGGAGAAGAGAGGAAACAACGCATGTGAGATAAATATGGAAGTCTACAAAGACTCTATGTAAAAGGTTTACGTTGTCCTGGAATCCTGAGCTGGGAGAATTGGACCACTTACTTTTAGGAATGAGCAAAATTGTGAGTTTTCGCTTAACTGAAATTTTAGCAAAAACCAGGAAAGTTTTTGGGAACTTTTGCTATTTGTCGCAAATTGTTTAGAGCCAATGGGGGAAGGCAAACTGAAGGTGGGTTTTTAAAGGTGCCATTGGCTTGAAATGGCTTCTGAGGATTACGGAAGCTCCTTTCACCTATCCTGGACCTGTTCTTGCATTAGCTGGCAACAGGATGTTAGATACTGAGGGACAGAGATGGTCCTTAACATTAACCCTTAGTTTATAAACAAAATTTTAGGATTGTTGACATGGGAATCACACAAAAAAAATAAAAATGTAACTTTATCTAAGATTTTGTTGACGGTGATGATATCATAATGTCAGAAATGGTTTTCTTTATACAGCATAATACTGTAATTTTTAAATCTTCTGAATGAGAGATGACCTGAGAATGAACGGACTGCATGCGATCTGATTCTACAGCACCTCACTGCTTCCTCTGTGTGACTCACTTCCCATCAGATTCCATGTTCTCCTTCAGCCTCCTCCATCTCTTTCTGGGGATTGTGTTATATGGTATCAGTGTCAGCGGCAAGGATACAAGATGTGAGCCCAGAGCTTAGAAGTGTAGAAAGCAGTGTTGGAAGAAGCATTTAGCAATGTGAGATAACACGCGCTATACCTGAGGTGATCTCTTCCTTTACAATAGCATCCAGGGGAATCCTCAATAGTTTGCCTGATGAGCTATCCTCCTGCCACAAGGAAAGACAGATTTATTATATCTCTGAATGGTTTTGTGTCTCTGCCCCTCCCACAATGGTGAGATTTCCTCCAGTAGTTTGTGTCTCTGCCCCTCCCACAATGGTGAGATTTCTTCCAGTAGTTTGTGTCTCTGCCCCTCCCACAATGGTGAGATTTCCTCCAGTAGTTTGTGTCTCTGCCCTTCCCACAATGGTGAGATTTCCCCCAGTAGTTTGTGTCTTTGCCCCTCCCACAATGGTGAGATTTCCCCCAGTAGTTTGTGTCTCTGCCCCTCCCACAATGGTGAGATTTCCTCCAGTAGTTTGTGTCTCTGCCCCTCCCACAATGGTGAGATTTCCTCCAGTAGTTTGTGTCTCTGCCCCTCCCACAATGGTGAGATTTCCTCCAGTAGTTTGTGTCTCTGCCCCTCCCACAATGGTGAGATTTCCTCCAGTAGTTTGTGTCTCTGCCCCTCCCACAATGGTGAGATTTCCTCCAGTAGTTTGTGTCTCTGCCCCTCCCACAATGGTGAGATTTCCTCCAGTAGTTTGTGTCTCTGCCCTTCCCACAATGGTGAGATTTCCCCCAGTAGTTTGTGTCTCTGCCCCTCCCACAATGGTGAGGTTTCCTCCAGTAGTTTGTGTCTCTGCCCCTCCCACAATGGTGAGATTTCTTCCAGTAGTTTGTGTCTCTGCCCCTCCCACAATGGTGAGATTTCCTCCAGTAGTTTGTGTCTCTGCTCCTCCCACAATGGTGAGATTTCCCCCAGTAGTTTGTGTCTCTGCCCCTCCCACAATGGTGAGATTTCTTCCAGTAGTTTGTGTCTCTGCCCTTCCCACAATGGTGAGATTTCCTCCCAGTAGTTTGCGTCTCTGCCCTTCCCACAATGGTGAGATTTCCCCCAGTAGTTTGTGTCTTTGCCCCTCCCACAATGGTCAGCTTTCCCCCTAGTAGTTTGTGTCTCTGCCCCTCCCACAATGGTGAGATTTCCTCCAGTAGTTTGTGTCTCTGCCCCTCCCACAATGGTGAGATTTCCTCCAGTAGTTAGTGTCTCTGCCCCTCCCACAATGGTGAGATTCCCCCAGTAGTTTGTGTCTTTGCCCCTCCCACAATGGTGAGATTTCCCCCAGTAGTTGTGTCTCTGCCCCTCCCACAATGGTGAGGCTGCACCTCACCAGTATCCCAAGTCACCCCCTTCTGCTCCTGGACCACGTGCTGGGGTACACAAGTACAGAACCCAATCGCAGCTGACACTGCATACAAACCACGTCCTTACCGGGTAGACTTCCACGTAGCCATCCGCCATCAGGTTGCTGCAGAATGCGACGTGTCCTCTCTTCAACTTGTCATCCACGAAGAAGGCAACTTTGTCCCCCTGATTAATGGGGTTCTGTGTCCTGGTCTGAGCTGAGGGGGACCCCAGGTTGTCTGACGGCGCGGCTCCGGAGAATAGGACTTTGTTGAACGGTAACAGCAGGCCGCTGTTCTGCTTACATTTAAAGAATGTCACCCCCTTAATAGTGCCGTCGATCTTCCCGCGGCCTTCGCCTTCCCCCTATGGAATGATGAGAGAATGAGTTACCACAAGACGGTATTATCCGCCACATACAACATAATGCAAATGCAATGCAGCCTGATTGATGGGG